TAAAAGCAGAAAGTGGGTAATTACGTCAGTATGAGCATGGGTTTACATGACTTTTGTCGGAATTGCTTGACATGCAAACTTTGCTATGCTTCACCAACCAATGCAGTTTCACATAATTATTAACTATTGACTATGGCTATTTAATTAAGCACTAATTAGTTAATCATTCAAAACGTTATTTGATGGAATTACATAGTACTCTCTTTTATCACCACTCACACCATATGCAACTATAACAACTCATCACATTCAAATGTATTAATTGGATTTTGGTGATATTAAAAATTGAAGGAAACAAAATATAATAATCTGAGAATCTCTAACGGAAACTCAAACTAATCCTCATAATTTGTGGAAGAGCCGAATATTCTTGTCATTTAAAGCATTTACATTTGCTATACATGCTTGTATACCTAAAATCACAGTAGAGTCATTGGACCATAATTCCACAATTTTGAAAATTGGCCATTCGACCACCATGAATTGGTTATTTCCTTACATGGTTTTTTAACAGTAGAGTTTAGAACCTTGATTCTCGAGAATTCTCTATTATATTAATCGATTTTGTATAAAAGAATTTATACAAATACATTTACGAGTACTTCACTTACATGAGTACATCTTGGCATAGCTCTTTCTGCATCATCCACTAAACCTAGTTTGAGTTACAAATTATAGCTCTCCCACTCTTATTTTTCTCTCTTACATGTTTCTTTTACGAAAAAGAACAAGAAGAGTGAAGCAAATTAAAGAAGAAGACGAAGCTGCGTTAATATGTTCTTAAAATATATGAGATTTTATAAACATAATAATAATTCAAGCTGAGCACAACAACGTACGAGCCTAGGCCTGGGCGTTTGGGTAAATGGTTCGGTTCTAGAACCGAACCATTCGGTTCTTAGTATTTTGGTTCTGAAATTTAGGAACCATATTGGAACCAAATCAAAATCGGTTCGGTTCCGGTTCGGTTCCTCTACGGTTCGGTTCGGTTCGGGTAATAAATTTTGGAACCAAATTATTTCGGGTATTTTTGGAACTGAGAAAACAAAACAATCATAATACAATATTCAAATGCAATTAGGTAAGTATGCAATCACATATTAGTAAGCATACCATTACAAATCCAAAAAATATTCGAAATTTGGAAAGTGTTATGTCAAAAGACACCCAAAGTTTCAAAGATACCGAAAAACACAAGTTTTTAAGACACCAAAACTGTTTCAAATTACAATCTTCTGCTTCTTCTTCTCTCCAAAGATTGTATCAAAAAACACCACAAAACCTGAAATAAAATGTACAAAAAGACTTTTAATACAATGAAATGAAATTTGAATCACAGAGAATAGAACTAGAGAAAGGGAAAAAATGACCTGAATAGATACTAGAGTCCATCACCATCTCCTTAACAAAACATGAGTCAGCTTAATTCCCTTCGCAGCCAAACTCAAACTCTAAACATCAAAACAGACAATAATTAAGACACTTAGACTACACAGATTTACAAGTATTCAAGAAAATTGACAAGAGATATTACCTTTCTCAAGCTTGTCTTGATCTTCAATCTCAGATATTACAAGGTTTCTCTTTAGGTTTATGAAATATATATAGTGGGTTGTTGGGCTTGGGTTTAGGTTTAGGTTTGTATGGATTTGGGCTTTGGGATATATAGATATAGGTAAATAGATTATATTTTTCGGGTACCCATTTGGATCTCGGTTCTTACCCGAACCGAACCAATACCCATGGATCTGAAATTCAAGATCCAATCGATATTTTTATTAGAACCAGAACCGAACCATACCCATCAATTTCGGTTCGGTTCGGTTCGGTTCTATGTGGATCCATATTTGTGTCCAGGCCTATACGAGCCCAACACTTCTCTTCTATTCCAAACCATTAAACCATTTGAACCAAACTGGCTAAACCAAGAATCAAAACCAACAAATCCTCACATTGGCTAAACCGGTTCCATCCTTTGTCACATCCGTCTTCTCCATAACGATTTCTAATGATGTGAGCTCTATAACTTCCTCCAGCAAGATCAACTTTGGAGCACCTTCAACAATTTAGTTAGCATATTAAATAAATTAAATATTCAAGCTTCAATATATTTCAACTTTAGTGTGAATAAATTTTTGTGGTATTTTTTTTTTAAACTAGTTTATCAATTATTAACATACATGTGAACATGGGACATGATTAAACAAAAGGGAATGACCAAATGACAGATCAATATTAGTATGGGAACAAATTACGAGGTGAAACTTCACACTCAACTCAATTAAAATTAGAATAAAGAAATGGAAAAAGTGAAAGAATGAGAGGTCAAATGTGGTTAATCATTATGTGGTATTAGTTAATCCATCAATTGTGTACCCAAAAGCATGATTAAGCATAGAATTTAGAGAAATAAAACATCATTATTAATGTTGAAACACAAAGATCCCATCAACAGACAAATGATAAGAACAGTGCTTGTAGGGTAACAACTTTTATTTTACAATTATATAATAAGAAAACGATTAAAATGCCATTGCCTCCAGCCTCTATTTGTAAATCATATTATATCCTTACGCTTAGTTCCAATAATTAAGTCCATAAATTAGACATATACACATATATTTATGTTAAATGGTTGAATATATACAAACAATTTCATAAACAATATTGCTAATTAATTCAAATATGTGTGTACATAATCCAACCATCGCCTTTTTAGTTGGAAGTAGATACTCCAACTTGTCACTCCCACTTTCCTACTCTCTACTCTTTTTTTAGTTATTTCAATATCTAAAGTTAAATAGTTATTTTAGTTTTTTGGTATTCCCATAACTATCGAATTACTAGTATTCACTAAATTAAACTTATTGTATGAAAGATAAGTCTGATTTATAACTATTTCCGGTTTAAGATGAATAGCTAGATTGAAATATACATGCACTAATTGGACACTAGGCAGAGGTGAATGAATTGATGATGAAATGAAGATGGAATGTCACATTTTGTGCAAAAAGCATGTCCCTTATCTCTTCTCCTCCGCTTGTTTCAATTTCTTTGACTTCATCACGTTTTGTCACTTAGTTACACCAAAAAGATACTACAGTTAAAACATTGAAAATCGTCCAAAAAAGAAAACCATCGAGAGTTTTTTTTTCTTTTCTTTTTGCTAAAAATGCAAATATTCACTGAAAATAAAATTGTTTAGATTTTACAAAATTGTATAATCCAAGGATTGATCTCATGGCACAAAAAAAAAAAGATTAAAAACATGGAAGTAAAGACAAGATCTATATATATATATATATATATATATATATACTCATTATCATATAAGACTAAGTGAATAGCTAACACAAGATATAAGAATGGAAGATGATAAATTCTGAAAAACATTTGTGATGTATTTTTATGATACATCGAAAAGAACGAGCATATACCAAAAACATGGAAAAAGTTAGACAACTAATTAACCTGGTAGATCATGAAACGAGTGTGTGATATTTTAATGATGATTATAATAATTGAAACTTCTTTTTTTTTTTGCAGAATAATCTATATATAATAGCAATCTAATAAATACCATTTGCACATCTGAACGGTTGCGTCTTTTATCCCAATTTTTCGTTAATATTTTTATTAATTAAAATATATATTTTATGGTTATGTTTTTTTTTATAAATTGCATTATGAATGTTTTCTACGATTGCGTTTTTTATTGTAACTCTTCATAAACAGTTGAAACCGCTTATTCGAATCATTGCAATATTTAGTTTATTTTACAAACAATTGCAACCTTTGGTTTATATTTTTAGTTTATTTCACGAACAATTGCAAATTTTGGTTTATTTTATAAATAGCTATAACATTTAATTATCTACCGCCGCGTCTCGGTGTAACTTTTCATAAATTATTATTTTAATTGTTAATTTTTAATTACTAAAATATATTTAAATGAGATTGTAACTATTTAATTGAACTGTTTCAACATTTGGATTATTTGACGAATTATTGCAACTTTTGGTTTTGTGTTACGAACAATTGTTATCTTTAGTATATTTGATGAACTATTGCAACATTTGGTATAATTGACGAACCGTTGCAGTTTTTGAAATATTTGATATCTACGGTTGCGTTTCTCGGATAAGTTCGTCATATTTTTAAAAAATATTTAAATACTAAAATATATTTAAATGAATTGTTGTTACCGTTTAATTTAACACAATAGCATTTGGTTTATTTGACGTTGAACGTTTTGGCTTATTTATCAAACCATTGTAATATTTGGTTTATTAGTTTATGCTTTTTGCACTTGAAAATAGTTTTTTAGTTACAAATTATTGTTTTTCTAATATTAATATACTTAATAAATGCTTGTGAGGGTTTTCTTTATCATAATTTTTGTAAAATATATATTGATTTGTTATTAAAAAAATTCAAAATTATTACAATTCATTATGATTTTTTTGTTTGATATATTTAAAAAAAAAATTTGAAATATATTCCCCCGCGACATCGCGGGGGTCCTGAGTCCTAGTAACTATAATAACTATTTGAAACTTATTTTAATGTACGTAACTTTTCTATTAGAAGATAATGTAATTTATTTTCTTATATGAAAATCTATACTTTATATTTTCATCCATTATAAATTCAAATTCTGTAATAAATTATTGCAAGAAAAACAAAGATTTCTCCCCCACTAAACCCGTTTAATTATTTACGTCAGTATTTTTTCCTTTTATACATACACATGCATGACATTACACGTCAAAAGAAACAAGTCTTACGTCAGAACCTACGTGAATGATCAAATTTGATTTAAACAAAGAAACATATGTTAAGTTGTTAACTAAATTATATTAATTCCATAAAGGCACTTTAATGCATGATAATTTACAACTTCTTTATTTTAAATAATAATTTCCCCCTTTTGGGGGCTATGTCTCGTCGAGTCCCACCACCATTATAAATTATCTCATCTCTTGCTTTCTTGTTCTAAGTTGTAACCATTTCCACTTGTAATCATACAACTTCTCTACTCTTCTAGAGCAAAACCCCAAAAAGATATCGTCATCATCGTCAATGGCGGATAATAAGGTAAATCTGTCTATTAATGGACAATCAAAAGTGCCTCCAGGTTTCAGATTCCATCCCACCGAAGAAGAACTTCTCCATTACTATCTCCGTAAGAAAGTTAACTCTCAGAAGATTGATCTTGATGTCATTCGTGAAGTTGATCTCAACAAGCTCGAGCCTTGGGATATTCAAGGTTCTTCTAGCTAACAATAAACCCTAATAAGAAGAACATTTTTCATTTCTACCAACTCTCTCTCTCTTCTTTGTTCTTTATTATTGAATCATTTTGTTATGCAAATGCAGAGGAATGTAGAATCGGTTCGACGCCACAAAACGACTGGTACTTCTTCAGCCACAAGGACAAGAAGTATCCAACCGGGACCAGGACAAACCGGGCAACAGTTGCGGGATTTTGGAAAGCTACTGGACGTGACAAGATTATCTGCAGTTGTATCCGGAGGATTGGACTGAGGAAGACACTCGTCTTCTACAAAGGAAGAGCTCCTCATGGTCAGAAATCCGATTGGATCATGCATGAATATCGCCTCGACGATACTCCAATGTCTAATGTAAGTATATAGCGATCATCAATATTCATTTTAGGTCGGAAGAAACCATTCCTAAGTTATAGTCAAAGAATTAGCTATATTCGTTTCATGCTATAAAAGGTTTTGGTTCATTTAGTACTAGCTAGAGCCTTCTTTTAGCATGTGCAATAAAAGTAATAGAATATGATTCTGATTTTAAAATAAAATATTTTTTATGAAAATTAACACATCATATATACATTTTTATTATAAAAAAAATTGCATAAGGCTTAAAATAGTTTAAGACGGCTCTATAATGCGACCAAAAAGCGTTGAACAAATAATATTTATCAATAGTTGCATGTCCAAAAAAAAGAGTCGCATTTATGTCGTCAAAGATTTAATCAGCTCTTATTGCATTTCATATTCCATTATCAGGGCTATTCTGATGTTGTAACCGAAGATCCAATGAGCTACAACGAAGAAGGTTGGGTGGTATGTCGAGTGTTCAGGAAGAAGAACTATCAAAAGATCGACGATTGTCCTAAAATCACTCTATCTTCTTCAATTGATGACACGGAGGAAGAGAAGAGGCCCACCTATCACAACACTCAAAACGTTACCGTTTTAGACCATGTTCTTCTTTACATGGACCGTACCGGTTCTAACATTTGCATGCCCGAGAGCCAAACGACGACCAAAACTCAACATCAAGACGATGTCTTATTCATGCAACTCCCTAGTCTTGAGACACCCAAATCTGAGAGCCCGGTCGACCATAGTTTCATGACTCCAAACCAACTTGATTCATCTCTGGTCCAAGAGAAGATTCTAACCGGCAGACCGGTTTGTAGTAATTGGGCTAGTCTTGACCGGCTTGTAGCTTGGCAATTAAACAATGCTCATCATAATCCGTGTGATCGTAAGAGTTTTGATGAAGAAGAAGAAAATGGTGATACTATGATGCAGCGATGGGATCTTCATTGGAATAATGATGATAATGTCGATCTTTGGAGTAGTTTCACTGAGTCTTCTTCGTCTTTAGACCCTCTTCTTCATTTATCTGTATGATTATCTGTACAAATTTACATACACATACACAAAATAAAAAATATGTATTACTTTCATCTATTAAAAAATAAAGTTTGTTAAAAATGTCTCATATGCTCTATGATACCATGTCTTGATTTTGGGGTTTATCATTTGTTAATTAATAATGGTACAGGGCAAAACATTTAAATATTATAATCATAATTTACGAAAATTAAAGAATGATATTATATAGAAAATTGTATAACTTTCACATCCCTTACGTTTTTCATCATTCATTTTTTTAATCTACATTTCCTGCATGCACACTACTGAATTTGAATCCAAAATATGATATGACAATGGTCGTATTTTGTATAAACCACACGATATATATCGTTAATATCAAGATTTATTGATCATTTCGTGTTTTATCACATAAAACGTTTATAATGGCGAATCATGAAACCAATAATGCGTGTTAATATTCCGTAGAATTTGATAACGCACATGGTGGATCCGTATATGATAAAAACTAAAATAGCCTTATTTTAAAGATTATGTACTTCTTCTAATATCACCAGTGGCGGAGCCAGAAAATCTATTAATCGGGGTCAAAATATTTTTTTTCTTCTAAAAGATGCATAAAAGGTAGCTTCATAAGTCGATATACTAAAAGATGTGAAAGATGTTTTTTTGTTTCCACAATCACACGATCAAAGATTGATTAAAAACACAAAGAAGAAAGAAGAAGAAGGTTAAACGTTTTTAGATCAGCTCAAAATAAATGTTAAAATATTATATTAGTTTATATTAATAGAATTGTAGTAGATTTACTTAAAATAAATTTTGATTAGGCTAATATATTATCTATAAGTGCAGTGTAATTATTGGGTTTGTAACATAAATTTTTTTTATAGGGGTCAATATTTTTATTGGATTGGGGTCAATAATTTTTTTTATATAAAAATTAAAACTATTTTTTAAAATTTCACCGGGGTCAATTGACCCCTATGAATCTTCTCTCCCTCCGCCCCTGAATATCACTATACGGTTATATCTTTTTTTTTTTTGGACAAATTACTATACGGTTATATCTTAAAAATATAATTATACAGTTATAGACGGTGTTTTTTTTGTCGTACAAAAAAAACAACCGTGTTACAACTTACAATACAATATTTGACAACACAAATAACAACTGTTTGATATAATAAAAATTATAGACAAAGTCTAACGAAAATTTAGTTTTAAAAAAAAAATTAAAACCATACAGTAATATATTATATATATACATATATTGTAAATATTATAATATTGTTAGTTTATGATAGTAATCGAACCTTAATTTTATATAAAGATTCAATAATTATTATATTTTTATATTTTCGAATTTTGTTAATTTTTATATTGTTTCGATCCAAAACTAAAATGCCTTGTAATATTCATAAAAATGTTTTGTAATATAATCAGTAATTTAAATAAGTTTATTGTATGAACAAAACTCGCGTATAACACGGCCATTTATCGGGATAAAGTATCATTGTCATTTTGACAAAAGACTTGTATAATAATAAATGAAGTGATATTTATTTTGACTTTCATCTAAGTAAAGTGTGCCAAACAATAACGACAGCTTTATAAGATTCTCGCTTCGTATCATTAATTCGACTTTTGGTGTAACTATGTTATCTTTTCGTTTTCCTTGGAAAATCATCATGTCGTTTTTCTCGTGCATATAGAATATATATATTCTATAGTGCAAATACGACAATCCAATTACCACTTATCAAATTACGTAACCATTGGTTTTTTTTTTCTCTTTTTGATTTTCTGACTAATATTACAATAAAAAGGTTGTGTTACAAATTGATAGTTTATAAAGAGTTACCACGAGCAAAATGTAGGATAATAAGAGGCTCATAATGAAATTTGAAAGATAAATTGCAACTGTTGAGTGCGAGTATGCCGATTGGAACACACAAAACCAGTCGTGTATGGTTATATATGGATTGAGAATTTGTTTAAATACAAGATAATGGATCCAATTTGGCTCGAATGAATTGGAACGATATCCTACTGAGATAGACTACATGCTGTGATTTAGTTAAATGGAATATGTCATGCACTGTCTCCAAATCGTATATAAGGAGACTTGCATTGTGAGATTAAAGATCAACTTGATGCTTCGGCATGTCGTAGGGCATTGTTGGTGGTAAGAGACCGAATCGAATAGTGAAAGGCGACCAAATAGTTAAACCCTTGGTTGTTTCTTATTTTTGCTTGATAAATAACCAAACCATTTATCAATCATTTTCCTTTCCAATACACTAACAAGTAAAATTAAGATGCTTAAAAAATAATGCATTGATAAATATTATGATCAGGACAATTATAAAATTCTTATGGATTACTTTACTTCCTTTTGGAAGAGATATGTGTCTAAAACATTTGAAAGAGAAAGATGACAAAGAAAGCTAAAAAACATTCTCATTCAAAATAATTTAAGAAAATTGTACTTCAATTAATCTTAATCAATATTTGATCTAATTTGCTCAAACTTTTTCAGGAATTTTTTCTTTTTTTTTTCCTGAACTAAGTAACCCGTATAATATACATTTCACTGTGAAAAAATTGTTGAGTTTCCCTACAATTACTATTTTTTTTACAACAAAATAAATTGAGGGTCATAATTCTGTCTACGATTCTGGAAAAAATATTGAAACAATGGGAGCCCATAAGACTAGAACAGATGGTAAGTCATAATCTCACAAATTTTTGTTTCCATTTAAATTTTTACCAAAACAAAAGAGTTGTTATATAGTTTTCAAACATTCTGATTAGGACTAGTAGTAGTCTAATACTAGAAGAAGACCTATCTATGAAAGCAATCTCAAAATTTGGGTTATGCCGACAAAAATGCGCCACACGTCTTCTTGACATATATTCGACCACACATCTTCGACTTATACATTATAAACTGCATGAATTAATATTGCTAGAAACAAACAACTTTATGCACTAATTTATTGTTAAAATTAAAACTATGTTTATTGCATATGTACTAAATATAATTTTTTAAAGAAAATATCTTATAGTCAAAATAAAATATTATTAGTATATATGTGAAAGAATATCCACCAATGTTAAGAAACAAATCTTTAAGGTGGTGTTATTGGTTTGTCATTTAAATAGTGTTTTGATGACTTTAATAAAATCATCCAAAGTAAATAAATGAAAGAATCTAAATTATTGATAGAGAGTTTTCTATAATCTTGTTGATTAGTTTTTTCATAATCTTGTAAAGTTTTCCGAACAATCTCTCTATTTTGATGATAGTTTTCATAATTTTATTTTGTAAAGAAAAGTGTATAAAATCATAAACTAATAACATAATAATTTAATTCATTTAACAATCAAAGATTCTTTTGTTTTAGTTAAATAACAAAAAAAATTTATTGACTTTATACAATTCTGAATCCAATAACCCCAAATTTATGAAGATTTTTTACAAATCAAAAACTAATAACACCAAACTTTAACAGAATTTAATAAAAACTTTATTAAATAACAACAGATTCTACATAACATTTAAAATCATTATAACAATATTTAAATCACAAACCAATTACACCCCCTAAATCAAAATAAAATATTGTTAGTATATATGGAAGATCCATCAATGGTAAGAAAGAGAAGTGCCAACCTTTTCTTTGTTACAATCAAAGAACCTAAATGTTCTATAAATTGAGCTTTTAGTTACAATCTAGAAAATCACAGAACATATTTTGTTACTATACTTTATACTTGATACAATAGAGCAAAGACAAAATTAAATGGGCATCACAAAGAATTCAATGACTTTTTTTATTCTTAATAATATTTGCTGCTTTTGTGTCTAATTACAATATATTGGCTTCAGGTATGTTTCTATTTTGTATATGTTGTTATTTTTAATTAGGTTTCATCATTTGAAAGCAAGAACATCGATATATATATGTCTGTACATATATATAGATATGATTATATATGATTTTCATGTGGTTACTTTTTGGACATGCAGAGATCAAACCTACAGGGAGAATTCATGATCAATGCAAGCGGATGTGTTCGGCAACGTACGGGAATGGTAAATGTGCCGCGGACTGTAGGAAGGCTGGGTTCTCATCAGGACAATGTCTTACCTCTTCTCCTTTCGGAAATAAATGTTGTTGCACCAAGTGATTGAAACCGATCTCTATGAGTTTTCTCTTGTTGCATTTTCTCAAATCATAAATGCAATAAAATAACATAATTTTATAATTATATTTTTTTAATCAATAGTATGAGCTACTATCACAATGCACGAGCAGTCCCATCTCTAGAGATAGGCAAGATAGACATTTGCCATGGATCCAAAGTTAATGTTCAAATGTCGTTTAATGTAAAATCCCAATTAAAAAACAAATTACTAAGAAGTATTATTTTTATTTTGGTTTTGCCAAAGTTCTTCCCATAGATTAAGACGAGTCGATTAGCATACTCTTATTACTGTTTAATTAGTCAACTATTACATACGACAAGTTTTTTACGGGTCATCATTGATGATGAATTTAGAAACCTCCAAAGCAATTAATTTGAAACTATATGTGGGTTTCAATATGATTAGGGTTTAATTTGAGTTAACGAGTGGCGGTATATGATCCTACGGTTTGGCATTAGAGAAAGTATCTTGAAAACATTTTGTAAAGATTCAGAAGAAAAACAATTAATTAGAGATTATGATTGTAAGCTAGGTAGAAATCCGAATTTGATCATATATATGTCTATTGTGGATGTCGGAATCCGCAATACAGATTTTGAGATATGTATCGGGTCGTCTAACCTTGATAGTTCGAATAACAATCGTAGAAACTGTGGAAAAAATTAAAGTGTATGTATATGTTTATTGCTCAAATTTTCGGCCCCTAGTACAATGATCCCCGACTTCTATTTATAGTTACACGATCGAACCCCCAAGTCTTAAATCTAGCCGCGAATTAAGTCCTAATTATTGTGCCCGTTTCGAATCTTCTTTTACTAGTCAATCCCGTCGAATCCGCCTCCTCTTTACTTCGTGAGATTCCACCGTTACGTCGCAACGGACTCGTACTTAATGGGCATGTCGATTCATCAGTGGGCCGGATTAGCAGCCCACTACGTTCCTTTGGACCTCTATCA